GCTTTTTCAATCTTCTATTTATACTAATTGTTGGCATTCTATAAAAAAAACGGATTTTTTTTTATTGATTCAAATGCAAAGATCATTGCTCATAAATCGTAGAGATGCATACAATTTACATTCGTAGTAAGTAGTAGTAATAGTAAGTCGTAGATCTACTGTGCAAGTCTTCTTTAGTGCCCCTCGCTTTATTTCACTTTTAATCAGCCCATCAGCTACAATTGCATATCAAAATATTTACTCTAGCCCTCTTTAGGTCTATAGACTTGTTTTTAGTTCTTTTCTTTTATATTTCTTATCTGTTTAGTTTTCAACTTATCTTAAGTGTCCTTGTTTTCAGTCATTGGAAAACTACCAATTAAATGATTTGAATATATTTCTAGATAAGTGGAATAGCCTATCATAATTGTATGTGCTAGTTAGCTAGATTTTCAAATGCGCCTATCGTTGAGCAGATAGCCAAATATTTCAATGTTAGGGCTGTCAAGGTTAAGATTACTCACATATAAGACCTATTTATTTTGGATGTTAAGATTGCTTCTTTTTTTTAATTTATGTAATGAAGGAATTAGGAGAGGAACTGCGTTATGATCTAGTATATTATCTTAATATAATATAATAAATATTATAATATATGCATAAAAGTGATATTATTTCTATATTATACTTTTATTTTATATTTTATTAGTTTTATATTATATTATATTATTTTATATTGTATTATATTATATTATATTATATTATATCATATTATATTATATTATATTATATTATATTATATTATATTATATTATATTATATTTATTTGTCAAAAATTATTTTTTCGTTGTTTTTGTATTTTTCTACAACTTCATAGCTTGAGAGTTATATTTACTCGATATATATATCTAAAATACTCCTAAATTTGGTCTGTTTCTACATATTTTATGATAATTTCCTAGATACTACAATCTAGAAATAAAACAAAATGTATAAGAGCTCAAGTATCGTATCGTATCGAAAGTATCGAAATGAAAAACACTCTAGAATGAATACAAAAATGTAAATACGATAGATACATTCGGTGTATGCATATGAAAATATACGCCAACTCATCGAAATGTAAACTTGCATCTTTGGGTAAATATTGATGGCACGCAAATATTGACACATTGCAATGCCCTTAGAGCTTGTTCTCTACACTAGAAATATTTCCATCTTAATAGATAAGCGATTTTAAATAGACTTTAGCTGCTAGCTTCAAGAGCAAATAGTTGGCACTCACCTCGGACTCGACGGGCGGATCACCGCCCGCCTCTAGGACGAGCACACGCCAATTGGGATTCTCGCTGAGCCGGCTGGCGATCACGGAGCCCGCAGAGCCGGCGCCAATGACAACAAAGTCGTAGGGCTCCGGGAAGCCTCGATTTTCGGCCAGCACCTGGCCATAGTCCGGCGGCCAAAGGGTGGTGGGTGCGAGATTGCACTGGGCTGTGAGCAGTGTCTGGATCAGCATTTGGACCATTCCCGTCCAGAGGCCAATGCCGGGCGGTGTGCACTGCGCATCGCCAGGACTAAAGCTGATGCTCTGGTTCACAGTTGTTGCCAGCATTTTGCTTTGAGCTGAATTGAGGCGACAGCGACATTTGTAAATAGCTTTTATAGATGCGATAAGCTACAAGTTGACTGACTGACTGGCTTCGTTACGTCTGGGCAGTGATTACAATGAGCTCTGTAAACAAAAGCCAGCCGAACAGCCGAGCAACTGAGCAACTGAGTCGCGTTAACAGACTGCGTCATGCCTGACAACTTGACAGTGGCGCGAATCAGTATTCGCCCAGCTACGCTTACAGCAAACTAGCTCAATCATCTGATTGACTGACTGCTGATCAATGTCAACTGCGTACCGCTGGCTAAGTAAATGTAATCTGCTGCTAGTTGAGGTAGTAGAGGCGTATGATTAGATAGGTTATCTGTCTCCAAGCATGGAAAAGTCGCGAAGCATGATTCTCTTACAATCGATTATGGTTTTCTTTTTAATCTTATTGAACATTTACATTTATCGAAAGGTTGGATAAACGAACATTTAACATATGTTTGCTTTAATTTGTCATATGTACCTATTCTTCTTTGCATAGCTTTATGTATAGCTTAGTTATAAATTTGAGTTCGAAAAGAACATGAATACTCACACAAATGATTTTTTTTTTTTATCTTGTCTACATATATGCCATTGGAATACTTATTAGTTTTTTCACTCCCCACTCTGCACTCGTATTTATCATATTCTGAATTATATTATATATATAATATGTATCATGTATGTATATCTCTTAATTTGATAATAGTTCAGACTCATATGCAACGTATAGAATATTTCTTAGTTCATACTGACGTCGTTTATGTGACATACACATATGTATATTGAATTCATCAGGCCAGCTATTAGTCGTATTAATGACATTCGTCACCCTTCTTAACAAGCCCTTTGAGCTTTTAAATACGATCATGTAAACTTGTGCAATACGTTTATTGACTCGTTCAGTGATTCATTGCGAGAGTACTCCTATCAGAGATGTATTTCTCAGTTTATTTTGGTATTACAAATATATTTATATCGGAATATTTTTTTTGCTCAATTATCGAATATTTTTTTGCGACATTTTTGATGTATTTTGCATCGCTTGCTCTTGTAATAAATAAACCCAGCGCAAATGTACAAAAATTTAATATGATGAAAACGTATTATTCTGACTTTAATAATGGAACAGCTAAATGTAATTTGTGCCTCAAAGTAATAAAAACAAGTGCTAACACATCAAATATGGCATCGCATATGAAAAACAAGCACCTTAAAGCCGAATACTGTAGCAAAAAATATTATAAAAAATACTTACTCTTAATATTCATGTTTTTGGGAAGGAATAGGAATTTATTGTGGGAAAAAAGTTTAAAAAAAAAAGTGAATAAATATTGATATATCGACATTTTAAAGGTAACATATCAAATATTTTGTTGATATTTTTCCAAAACTTAAAATATTGATACGATATTTAAAAAAAAATAAATAAATAAAAGAAAATAAAATAAATCGACAACCTAAGCTTTAATCTAATTAAGGCTTTCATTTCTGAATAAATGAGACATGAGTGTCTGTGATGTGTTGTATTATAGAAAGCCTAACTGAAGTCTATTGGACTTGAAGAACTACCATTCATTGGATTCTCAGTCTCTTACAAGTTCTCGCTTGCGTCCCTTGGAAATAATTTCTTGAAAGTCGAAAATTCGATATTGAATCAATTTAAATGCACACTTTCAATGTCTGTCATATTTATGAGCAAGTCAGCCGGAGCTAAATGGAAACAGGCTTATGGCTTATAATGAGCTTCAACTTTGAATGAACCCGTATACGTAATTGTATTAATCGAGCACGTGCGTAGGTCTATATGTGTGTGTGTGTGTGTGTGTGAAGTGCTTCTTATGATCTATAATTAAATCGTTAATCATTGTATTGTAGAAACAAAGATTACATTTAAATAAAAGCGAGCAGGCATAGGCTAAGATTTTCAGTTACATTCATGAGAAGTAGAATCCTAGGTGGAGATAGTGATAAGTATATATAGATTATATTATCTATATACATATATGTATATATAGATTATCATCATGATGCTTGAATAACGAACTAATCGAAAGCAGAAACTAACTCTAGCACTAATTATTGACTTTAAGCGGGTATTATGCAGCCTGTATTGACTTGCTTATAGAGCGCACGCGAGTCAAACATCTGTCACGTGTGCTGTTTAATCTGTTGGATTTATATACCTCGAATCAGGTGTCACTTGAGTGTGGAATGCTTGTACTACATTATAAGGTATTATCGTCTAGCGGTAAATTGAACTAAACACGCCTAATCGCTCGGCACCAATTAGATGCCCGATGATTGCGCTGCGCTCGCCAGCAGCTGTCACCCAGACCCCCGTCAGAGCCGGCCAATGTTGATCAAGGACAGGCGCTCTCTAAACGGCCAGCATCCACGGCAATGACAAATGGCAAGTTTTTCATTAACTCGCTGGCCGATTAAAGTTTTTCTCTGATAATTGCTATAAACGGCGCCGGCCACAACCGCATTTTTGTGCAGCGCGTCAGAGTTGCAAGCTGGGCAAATGCCAGGGTATCACGTGCGTGCAGATGCCCTCTGTCGATGGGGTAGGATAACCAGGTAGTAGGAGGCATCGGAAAGTTTCGTCCACAGTCTATTCGAGTAGGTTTTATTATCAGATGATCTGCTGTTTGTGCTGTATACCCTATATTATTATTGATGTGGAAAGGCTAATGCTAGGGTATCACGTGCGTGTGGATGCCCTCTGCCGATGGGGTAGGATAGCCAGTTAGTAAGAGGAATCGGGCTCAAATATGGGCTAATCTATACGATTAGGTTTTATTATCAGATGATCTGCTGTGTACGCTGTATACCCTGTATTATTTTCGGTATGGAGAGGCTATCTGACTCCATCTAGACCCTTGTATGCAATCAGCGACTATAAAATATCTTTATATACCAAAGGGTCTAGTCTTCATTAAACTCTTATGTAGGGTATCTTCTAGTAAATTCAATTCTAGTTAATCTCAAGTATTGTCTGCTTAGATAATCTCTTTTTATGTCCTGCATGACTGGTGTATTGGCCTTCTTCCCATTTTTTGAGCTTATCTTCGCCCGTCTAACGTGTTACAAAATATTTTTGTTTTGTTTTTCTTTTGGTATACCTCGTAAGCACCCTAATGTTTATAGGCCCATAAAAGCTAATGAGCCCAATAACGTCTAGCATAAGAGATAAAGCCAACTAGAAGAGCCAGCAGGGCTCTGCTGAATTCAAAACAAGTTTTCTGCTCCCTATGCACACTTTTATTGCACCCTTCTACAGCCTATACCTAATTACAGGGTATAAAAAAAAAATAGAAATTTATAAATATATATATATATGTACATACACATGTATGTATGGATATGTGAGCAACGGGAGAAGGATATTAAATTAAATGTAAACACAAATCGAGTATTTGATGGTGAGCTGGCGCCCTCTGTCGGCGGCTCAGAGTCCACTGTTCATGGCGATGCGGATGAACTGAACGGGCGCGGGCGGCTCCACATTGGCGGCCGCAGCAATCCAATTGCTCACGGGCAGCAGATTGAGGCCAGCGCTGAGATCTGCAAGGGAATCCAAAGATATAGCTGGATATAGCTGGCTAGCTGCCTCTGCTCCTTGGGCTGTGGGCGGTGGGCGGTAGGCGTAACTCACCCGAAGGATCGCTGAGCGCGGGCGCTGTTGCTGTTGTCGCCTGCTCCGCAGCTGTGGCATCCAGCAGCAACTGTTGCTGCGGCAGAGCCGCAATGGCGGGCAGCACCAGCAGCAGGCCGCACAGCAGCAGCTGCAACTGGTGGTGCTGATGGTGTTGGTGGTGCTGGTGGTGCTGGTGGTGCTGGTGGTGCTGCTGCTGGTTCTGGAGCTGCTTGTTTCGCGTCATTTTGTTAGCAGCGGATGTCGTGAACTGACCCGTAAGAAAATCTCGGAAACCTTTTTGAAAACTTCAGCGCAGCGAGCGCTATGTGTGTGTGTGTGTGTGTGTGTGTGTGTGTCAAACTGGTATAACTTGTCGCGTTTGCCATTTGGTTCAGCGCCCGCTCATAAAATACGACAAATGCGCCAAAACAGCAACAGCTACAACACCAGCAACCGCAACAACAACAACAACAACAACAGCAGCAGCAACAATTGCTGGCGCCTGCTGTCAATGCCGTCAGAATTACCTGGGAAATGCCAACAGCAGTTGCTGTAAGTGCAACAACAACTAGACAACCAGCAGAGCTTCAAAAAATTGCAACGCCAACACACGACAGCAACAGCAACATTGGCAATAATAACGGCAACAGAAATTGCAGATGCAACAATCTAGGCAGAAAACATGCAGCGAGCATACATATTGCAGAAGCAGAAGCAACAGCAATAACAGCGGCAACAGCAGCAACAACAATTGGCAACAGCAACAATCATAGCATCAATCTTGGCAACAATCGTGGCAACAATAGCAACAACAGCAACAACAATGGGCCACAGCAAAATTCTAGTAATAGTAACAATCGTAGCAACACCAGCAACAACAACAATTGTAGCAACATCAGCAATACCAATTGGCAACAGCAACAATCGTACCAACAATCGAAGCAAAACTAAGAATCGTAGCAACAAACAAGCAACAACAATTGGCAAGAGTAACAATTGTAGCAACAACAGCAACATAATAGTAGCATCCACAACAATATTCGTGGCAACAATCTAGCAATATCATGAACAACAACTAGCCACAGTAGCAATCGTAGCAACAGAAACAACAACATTTAGCAGCAGCAACAATCGCAGCAACACCAATTGGCAACAGCAACAATAGCAGCAAGACTCTAGCAGCAAAAATTAGCAACATTAACTGTCGTAGCAACAATCTAGCAACAGCATTAACAACATCTAGCAACAGCAACAACAAAGCATCAAAGCAACATTCTAGTAACAGCAATAAACGTAACAATAATCGTGGCAGCAACAATTGACAACAGCAACAATAGTAGCAACAATAGTAGCAACATTCTAGCAACAAACATTAGCAACATTAACTATCGCAGCAACAATATAAAAACAACATTAACAACAGCTAGCAACAACAACAGCAACAATCGTAGCAGTAACCGTTGCAATAATCACAGCAACAATCGCACCAAGTACAGCAACAAAGTTGACAACAACAACAACAAAGCATCACAGCAACATTGTAGCAACAGCAATAAACGTAGCAACAATCGTGGCAACAACAATTGACAGCAGCAACAATCGCAGCAAGAGTCTAGCAATAAACTTTAGCAACATTAACCATAGCAGCAACAATCTAGCAACAACATTAACAACATCTAGCAACAGCAACAGCAACAACAAAGCATCACAGCAACATTCTAGCAACAGCAATCAACTTAAACGTAGCAACAATCGTGGCAACAACAATCGTTGCAGCTACAACAACCACAACCGCAATCAGAGCAACAATTGCGACTGCCACAGCAACTGTTGCTGTTGCTGTTGCTGGCTCACATTTCAATCTCAATTATGCACAAATAGTTTTGATCGATATTTCAGTGTGAACGCCCCCGCGCCTCGCCCTATGCGCGGCCAATTACAGTTAACCCACAAATAGCCAAAACTATGCTAAAAATCTGGTTTCCCATTCACGAAGTTTTTGAGCTACATTTTTTCCCATTTACATACATATATATGCACATATACTTGTATACTCTACAATGGGATTAGCGAAGAAGAAGCAGAATCTCTTGTAGTTGTTTCTGTTAATATTTTTGGCAACATTTGCAGCTGGCCAATTGCGATTGTCCAATGCGAATGGCGCAAGGCTGCAGCTCTCGGCCTCGGCTGACCCCTAGCCATTGACCCCTGGCCGAGTCGGTGCTTGAATACAGTTATTGTGGACAGTTAAGCTTTTAACCTTCGCTAGCAAGCCAAACAAAATTCATTTCGATTCGTCGCTATTTCTATGTGAAGGCTTTCATGATTTTTGTCACGTCAGAGGGTTAGCTTAGGGGATCCAGAAATTTCTATACGTATTTCTGATCGATTGCGAGACATATCTGGTATCAACGAAGATGTAGAAGGATCCCTCACATACCAAAGATCCCATGCCATGCATACATTGTGTGGGTCTCTTCAAGATCTTATTTCAATTGCCCAGAGAATCCGCCTTGAGGCTCATTCTAGTTCTCTATTCATCTTTATTAAACTCGTATAAGATAAGGCTTAGCTTAGTCTATGCAGAGGAGAGTCGAATAGCCGTCGCTATAGCCAACCGCCGTGGGGATAGCGGTGCCAGTCCTCCTTGATCATGTCGGCGCCCCGCTCCGCGATCATCAGCGTGGGCGCGTTCGTGTTGCCCGTGGGTATCGTGGGCATGATGCTCGCGTCGATGACCCGGAGGCCGCGCAGGCCACGGACGCGCAGACGCGGATCGACCACGCCCATGGGATCAGCGGCGGGCGCCATTTTGCAGGTGCCGACCGGATGGTAGATGGTCTGCGAGTAGTAGCGGGCCAGGCACTCCCAGAACGCATCGCTGAGGTACTCCACCTCGGGGCAGTTGCGCCACTCGTAGATGTTCAGGGTGGCGTTCAGCCGGCGCATCGCCGGCGTCTGGGTGAGCCGATGCGCCACCTTGAGCCCCTCGACCATGATGGCCATGTCCAGCGGATCGTCGTAGTAGTTGGCATGAATGAGCGGATGGACACGGGCGTCGGGCGAGCGCAGCTGGAGATAGCCGCGCGAGCGTGGACGCATCACCAGCGGGGCAATCACAAAGGAGTCCTGATAGATGATCGGCTCAAAGCTGTTCGCATAGTTGTCCAGGGTGATCGCTGCGCCTCGCCGGCCAATCATGCCGCCGTCGGCGCCGTAGCCGTAGCTGCCCATGAAGAGCTGGACGTCGGGCCAGTCCGCGTCCTGCTCCGCCTGGAAGCGGGTGCTGACAAAGCCCATCACCTCGCTGACGGGCATCGCATAGAAGAAGCCCTTGTGGCCGTGAATAAAGTCCCGCACGGAGTCCTTGTTGAGCAGCTCGGGCACTATGAAGGACATGTGGCTGTCCGGCTGAAGGCTCTCAAAGGTGTAAATGGCGCCCGAGGTGGAGATGTGATCCTGCAGATTGGCGCCGACTCCCGGCAGATGCTGCACCAGCGGTATGCCCAGGGGCTGCAGCTGCTCGGCGGGCCCCACGCCGCTGACCATCAGCAGCTGGGGACTGGCCAAGGAGCCGGCCGACAGGATGACCTCCTTGCCGGCCAGCACCTGATGCCGCACCAGCCGATGCTCGAAGCTAACGCCCAGCACGCGCTTGCTGCCCGGCTCAATGTGCAGCCGCTCCACGAAGGCTTTCAGGACAATGTCCAGGTTGGGGCGCTGCCAGCTGCGACGCATGTAGCCCTTGTTGGCGCTGCAGCGCAGTCCGTCCCGGAGGGTGCCGTGGGGCGGGGCGAAGCCCATTTGGGTGTGGCCATTGAAGTCGCCGTCGGGATGGGTGAGGCCGAGCTCGGCGGCGGCCTCCATGAACACGTCCAGCAGCGGCGAGGGCGATCTGTAGCGCTCCACGGTGATGGGTCCGCCGTGGCCATGATACGCACTCTGCTCGTAGCCGGGCACACGCATGTCCTCCGCTTTGCGGAAGTAGTGCAGGACATTGTTGTACTCCCAGCCCGGATTGCCCAGCTGGCCGGCCCAGTGGTCGTAGTCGCGTCGATTGCCCCTCACGTACATCATGGCATTGATGGAGCTGCTGCCGCCGAGCACCTTGCCGCGCGGCCAGAAGCACTGCTGGTCCTCCATGGCCAGGCAGTAGCGATCCGATTGCTCCGTCAGATACTTCCAGTCCCAGGGACTGCGCTGAAAGACCGGATACATTTGCGGCAGATCCATCAGCAGCGGCTCATCGCCGCCGGCCTCCAGCAGCAGCACGCTCCACGCCGGATTCTCCGAGAGACGCGCCGCCAGCACACAGCCAGCCGATCCGCCGCCCACAATCACGAAATCGTAGCTGGGCCGCAGCTGCTCAATGCGTATGGAACGGACGCGCTGCTGATCGTCCACAATGTCCGGCCGGTAGTCCTTGATGCCCTTGTTCAGCATTAGGATCACCAGGGCCGAGGGGCCCAGCGTCAGCAGGAACCGCCACATGGTGACAAACGTATTCACAGCCGTCATCTTTCGCTGCCACCTCGAACATTCGCTGCCCTCAGGCCAACTGAATGGCCCTCGAGCGGTCAAGTCCGAGGTCTTGGCAAGTGCACAGACTGCTGACCCAGCGCAAACCGTTCACCCATACCGAGTGCAATGACCAAATTTCGAATCGTTTCTCTCTCGCCCTTTTGTAATATTTCAACTCTGCTAGAGTCTTCTGCTTTCTCATATACTCTGCAGTTCTTTAGAATGGAATTTCGTAACACTCTAGTTCTGTTCTGTGATTGCTTCCCAATGGCTTTACCACTGCGATTCCTTTGTAGTCCATTCCTTCAATTCGTAATATTCCAACTCTGTACAGTCATATCCTATATGATATACCCATATTATTTATTTCAAGCTAAGGTTTCTTTCTCCGACTCTTTTCTGTGATAGTTTCGCATTCGTTTTTCCGTGCAGTCACTTCCTATGTGATATACCCATATTCTATATTTAAAGTTAAGGTCTTCAACTTTCATATATGTATACTCTATAGTTATATGGAGTTACAGTTCTCTCCTTCCATTCGCAATGCTCCAACTCTGTTCTGTTTTGCTTCCCATTCGCTTTACTACTTGAATTGCTTTGCAGTCATTTCCTATATTGCATACCCTGTAAAAGCAACTTTTCCCATATGTAGCTCTTCCAGTTACTTCGCAATATGTCAACTCGAATTACTTCATTGTTTCTCCATTATATTTCGCTATTCTCCAGCATAACTGGTTCGTTCATTTATATACCCTGTAAATTTTAACGCTGTGCTGTCTTATCTGAAATGTTTTCTATGTAAGATTGCACATTTCAAACACTGATTAGATTAGCACTAGCTGCTAGTGGACTGGAAATAACCCTACTGATATACAAATATTTTCATGAATAGAGTATATAATGAAATACTCGCATTATGAGTAAGATATGCGGCATTCGATTTTGAATGCCAAGAACAAACAAGTCGACCAAAACAAAAGCCTGAACTGAAAACAGCGCACAACGGCAAAAACGCAGCACGTGGAATAATGTGACAGCGTTGACCGACTATCGGTTACCCTCTGTTCAAGATATCGTTAAACTTTGCTGCATCATTGCGAAGAGCTTCTACATATTTAAATATTAATATTATTGTATATATTAGTGTCAATCCATAATCCATAGGGTATACACATACTTAACACGCTTGTATAAATTTCTTATCTATAAAGTGAATAAATTTATAGTATATATTTATATATGTATATGTTATTATGATTATATTAATATTATTATATATGTATATATTATTATATTATTTTTTCAAAAATTTAACTGCCTTAAGTGCAGGAGAGTCTTCTTCTATTTAAAGTTTAACTCTCATTGCAGGGTATACGGCAATGTTGCTTGCGTTAGGGTATTTTTAGCCTAGGTATAAATAGAGCTCAACTAGCTTCAATTGGCTGATATATGTCGCTGCTTATATGCCTTAAAACTCGTAAAAACTCTAGGTTAATTTCAGGTAGGTAACACCGTACATAATTCTTATACATACATATGTATACTCTATAAGCCATGAGTATACACATACATATGTATACTCTCACTCACTCACAACGTGTCTGCATATCAACGACGCACAGCTTGATCAGCTGTTTACAGAAAGTGCTTACAGCTTTTCGCTACGCTGTTGATTTACAGCGAAAGCTCACTTTTTTGTTATTAAATGTCTGAGCGAGCGACTGAGATAGCAAGACGCGGGGCAAAGGGGAAGAGTGTAGGGTGTATATGTGCGCTATGGGAAGCTTCCATTCGAGCAACTGTTAGCAGCGCCGCTGTTAACGTACAGTAAAAGCTCACACAATCTGTCTCCCTTTCTCTCACTCAGTCACTGGCTTTACTCTCCCACTCTCACTCTCTCTCTCTCTCTCTCTGTTTGTCGCATTGTCTTTCTGTGAAGTTCATTGGGCCATCGGCGGGGCGAACGAGCGACGCTGCATTCGTGCGGGCGGGATCAAAAGCTTCGACTCGAGCAGCATTAAGTACTTGAAATTTTAAACGCAGCGTAAACAAGTAAAAACTGTAAATAAAGTTAAACCTATTTGAATTGTCTAAAACGGATAAAGATGAAATGAAGCATTGGAGCTTTATGCATTTAACGACCAGCTCCAGATATCGCTCGGCCCCAAGTAGTTCGAAATGAGATGTTCACCAGGGACCAAGTGGACTGGATTCCTCTATCTCCTCTGTCAGCTGCTGCGCTCTCTTCCGCTGCAGGCAGCTGGCAGCCAGGCACCCAGCAATGGCATCGGCATAGGCTTGATGGACTCCTTGACGGCAGCACTGAACGCATCCAGCTGGGCGCTGACCAGCGATTGGCCACCCAATGCAGTTGGAAACCTGGCAAGTTCGGCTAGCTACGATTACATCGTGGTGGGTGCGGGCAGCGCGGGCTCCATTGTGGCCAGTCGGCTGGCGGAGCAGCCGAATGTGACGGTCCTGCTGCTGGAAGCGGGTGAGGATCCGCCGCTCGAATCGGAGATCTATGCGCTAAGCGGCTCAATGCATCACGACTCGCGCTACATGTGGCTGGACGAGGCGGAGCCGAATCCCCTGTGCTGCCAGGCCATGGAGCCGCCGCACGGCTGCTGCTGGTGGCACGGCCGCATGCTGGGCGGCACGGGCGCCATCAACGGGAATATCTATGTGCCGGGCAGTCCGGCCGACTTTCACAACTGGCGCTGGCGCCTCGGCCTCCAGGGCTGGGACTGGCCCAAGGTGCAGAGCGCCTATCGGCAGCTGGAGGCGCGACTGAAGCTCAGCTACTTCCCCCTCGAGCCGCACAACCAGCGGCTGGCCGAGCTCATCTATGCAGCCATCGAGGAGCTGGGCGTGCCCCGGCTGCAGCAGCCCCTGCGCTCGGGCAGCAGCTTCGGCTACACGCATCGGGTGCCCGTGACGACGCACGAGGGCCGGCGGGTGAGCAGCGCTCGCAGCTACCTGGCCGGAGTCAACCGACCCAATCTCAGCGTGCTGCGCGGCGCCCAGGCCCAGCGGCTGCTGCTCAGCTCCAGCGGACGACGCCTGCGCGGCGTCAGCTACCATCACGCGGCCAGCAATCGAACGCTCACCGCCTGGTCCAGCCGGGAGCTGATCCTAAGCGCCGGCGCTCTCAACTCTCCCAAGCTGCTGCTGCTGTCCGGCATTGGGCCCAGGCGGCAGCTGAGCAGGCTGGGCATACGGCCGCGGGTGCAGGTGGAGGGCGTGGGCAGGAACCTGCACGATCATGGCATGCTGCCGCTGCTGCTGCGCTTCGCAGCCTCGGGCTGCGCTCTGAACAGCAGCCAGGCTGCGAGTGGGCGTGACGCCTTCGAGCCCGCCTCGGTGGCCGAGTACCTGCTGCAGGGACATCGCGGCCCGCTGGCCGCCGGCTTCTCGATGATGGGCTTCATCAACTCGAGTGCGCCGACCAGTCGCTCCGGCCAGCCGGATGTGCATGTGGTCGCCCACTCGCTGCTGGCTCGCGGCGGCGCCGGTAGCTTTGGCTACCTGGGCTTCCGCCCGGAGCTGATTGCCGCTCAGCGTGCGGCACTGCAGCAGACGGACCTGATGCAGATCATGGGCTCGCTGCTCCTGCCCAAGTCGCGCGGCAGCGTCTCGCTGCGCAGCAGAGATCCGCAGCAGCCGGCGCTGGTGAGGAACAGCTATGCCTCGCATCCGGACGATCGTGCCACGCTGTTGCGCTACGTGCGCTACGTGCAACGGCTGCTGCGCACCAGCGCCTTCCGGCGCTGCGGCCTGAGCTTGTGGCTGCCGCCGCTGCCCGAGTGCGATGTCCTCGAGCCGGACTCGGATGCCTACTGGCGGTGCCACATACGCTACATGTTTGTGGGCGCGTGGCATGCAGTCGGCAGCTGCCGCATGGCCACGCCCAACGAGCCCCTGGGCGTCGTCGACGAGCGACTGCGCGTCCGCGGCATCCAGGGTCTACGGGTAGCCGATGCCAGCATCATGCCAGAGATTACGGCGGGCAACACAAATGCGCCGGCCATGATGATTGGCGAGCAGGCGGCGCGTATGATCCTTGAGGATCAGCTGCAGGAGCAACACCAGCTGCCCAATGAGCTGCCCGATCTGACAGCAGCTGAAGATCCGCAAACACCCGGCGAAACCAACGAGATTATTCCTTAAATAAAACCAAAGAGCTATAAGCATAAGCATACGTAGAGCTATAGCCCTTATTCAACTGATAATAAATATGTAACCGTATATGCCCATATGTGTGAAAGAGAAATGAATAGTAAGTCATATATCGTAGGACATATACTGTATAGGAAATATATATACTCCTGCTAGCAAAAATCTATTCAATAAAATATGAAAATCTTTAGCTTCGTGTTGATAGTCCCTATATCATCCTACCCATTGAGTACTCTACACACTTTACTCCACATCAGTTCTACCGAATTTCTGGTAATAGAGCTCAACTCATTAAAGCTATTAATATTATTAAACAGCAATCAATTATTATCTTCATTTTATTCCTGGCAATACTGATCTAGCTTGGGATCCCACACGCCAATCGAAATTTACAGAAAATGTACATTTTACTGGACATTGTTTCACTGTTTCAATAAGTTACAATAAATACATAAAATTTACTTAAAATTAAAAAAAAAAAATTAAAACGCAAAAAAAAAGAAAAGAGACAAATACACTCACAGATTCGCACACAGATGCATACTCCAATCCACACACGCACACACACACACACTCATATACAGAGTCATAGAAGAAAGTTATTCGCTTATCAGACTATTGTATTCTTAATCCAGAACTCCTTGATCATATCGCTGCCCTTCTCGGCGATCATGATCACGGGCGCATTCGTGTTGGCCGAGACGAGCTTGGGCATGATGCTGGCATCGATGACGCGCAGTCCGCGAATGCCGTAGACCCTTAGCTTGGCATCGACCACAGCGTCCTTGTCCCAGTAGGGACCCATTTTGCAGGTGCCCACCGGATGGTAAATGGTCGATGTGTACCGCCGCACCATGCACTCCCAGTAGCTGTCCGTGAATGGGACGAGATGCTCGCAGCCCGGCCAGTGTATGCTGGAGAGGCGGGAGCCGAAGCGCTGCATCGCCTTGGTGCGCGAAAGAGCGACGGCGACCTTGACACCCTCGATGAGGGTCTTCAGATCGAAGTCGTCCTTCAAGTAGTTGGGAAATATATAGGGGTAGTCGAAGGGATTACTGCTGCGCAGCTTAATACTACCCGTGCTGCGTGGACGCAACAGCATGGGAATTATGCTCCAGGCATCCCGATTGTTGATCGGCTCGAACACCGCACGGTAAAACGAGTCCGAGAGGCCGTGCGCCTTCCTCAGCTGGGAGCCGCCATCGGAGTTCGTTGAGCCCGAAACGAAATGAAACTCTATGTCCGGCCAGTCCAGCGAGCTGTTTGCATACTTCGTATTCACATAGGCCAAGCCCTCGACGCCGCCGAGAATGGTGAGCGGACCCTGGCCGAAGACCGCGTACTGCAGCACAGTGGACATGGTGTGGAAGCGGTTCTCCACTATCGACACCGGTTGATTCACCAGAAACGTGAGTCCACCCAGTCCGATGTGATCCTGGAGGTTCTCGCCGACGCTGAGCTCCTTGATGACCGGTATGCGATGCTTGGCCAGCTGCTTGCGTGGACCGATGCCGCTTAGCATCAGAAGCTGCGGACTGTTCACTGAACCGCCCGAAAGCACCACCTCCTTGGTGGCACGAACATGGTAGAGCTTCTGCTCTTTAACGAATTCCACTCCAAAGGCCAACTTGCTAACCGGATCGATCATGATGCGCGTCACATGCGAGTTCATTGAGATGTGCAGATTGGGACGCAGTCGGGCCGGACGGAGGAACGCCTTGGAGGTGGAGCAGCGCGAGCCACGCCTTGTGGTGCCCTGGGCAATCATGAAACCCGTCATCTTCTCGCCGTTCAAGTCGCGATTGTCGTAGCCCATTTCCACGCCCGCTTCCACAAAGCTGGCCGCCAGGGGGGTGTGGTAGGGCGCTTCGCCCACAGTCAGATAGCCCCCAGTGGCATGGTAGGGCGTGCTAGCCAGATACGGATTGGTGTTATCCTCCGACTTCTTGAAGTAGTAAAGCGCATCGCGGTACGACCAGGATGGGTTACCCAGTGCCTCCCAGTTATCGTAGTCGTGCTTCGAGCCACGCAAATAAAGCATGTAATTGAGGACGGAGCTACCGCCCAGCACCTTGCCCCTCGGCCAGTTGCAGCGTCCGCCTTGCATAGCTGAAAGGAGTCGATATAGATGGTTAGATGTTTGTAGATTAAGATTTACGTGAAGCCCTAATAGCTTTCTCATTCCCTCTAACTTTGACTTTTGTTTAACAAGAGACAGAAGTCCTTAAGAGGATAGGAAAGGAGAAATCTTCTTGAGCACTGAGCAGGGCTTACCCAAACACGAAGTTCCCGACGGTTCCGTCTTGTACTGCCAGTCGATTTTCGATAGCTGCAAATATCCGGCCATCAGTGGCACATCCGTTAGCTCCGTCTCATCGCCGCCCGCCTCCAGGAGCAGAACATTCCAGTTTTCCACCTCGGTCAAGCGATTGGCCACCACAGCGCCGGCCGAGCCGGCGCCTATCACTATAAAGTCATAGTGATCGAGAATATCATCGCTGCTGACGTCGCTGGGCTTCGACTCGGGATCCATGATCTCCTCGTACTGGAAGTAGGCAACCGCTGCCATCAGCATGGGTATGAACCAGCTGTTGCTGGTTGCCGCCGTCACCGCGCCCCCGATGGCCGAGGCAGCGCCCACAATGGCCGAGCTCATGGCTGAAGGCTCCTTCTATTGGATGTCTGTCAGTCCGTCAGGCGATAGCGATCTTTCAACGTGCCGCGACGTGTCTGCAATGGAAACGAAAAGAAATGAAATAAATCCGTAAATATGTGATGAAAAGTCACGTTTGTAATATATGTAATCGGGTTAGGTGAATCGATTGCTTGGGTTTGCGGCTTTTCACGCGCCTCAACATTTCGATCACGATCTGCCGCATTTCGGCAATTTCGTAACGCGCTCGGGCACTTCCATTTGTTATGCATACCCTGTACCCGATTGCCCAACATGCCCGATTCGCTTATCAGATCTAAGCGAATGCACTGGAACGAGCTTTCAGCTGTACCTCAATCAGAATGAAGTAGTTCTTCAGCTGACTCGTTTACCGTTACGGCAAGCCATAGCACGTGCGGGAATGCTCCGAAAGCTTTCAAAAGACAACGCGCTAATTCATTCGATAGTTATTTGGAATGTCTAGCAATGTGACCTTGTCAACGTATCAAGTCTAATCCATTTAATGTTCGTATTAGCAGAGAAATCGGAGGGATATATGCATACGATCTATCGGTAGAGTCTTTAAGCCGACAACATGCTGCATTGTTGCATGTATTGCACTGGGAGTGGGGATAAAAGGCCTCCCGCATAGAAGTGAAATCTCTCGCAACTATTATAAAATCTTCAAAGAAACAAAAACAAAAACAAAAATTTTTAATTTGAAAGGGAAGAGAAAAAACGCTGATTTTCTCCCATTATGTTCACATCAGATATTGTTATAAGTACCCAACACATACACACACATACACTCAATTGCATGCGAGTGCATTCAACCAGTTTGTTTTGTAGGCGGGGCCAGCCGCCCAAGCCACAATGCTGCCGCCAAAAACGTTTCCTGACTTTGCATAATCTTTGGCTAGCTTCAAGCTAAACTAACGGCTAACAACGCCAACACTTGCTGCTGCTGTTGTTGCTATTGTTGCTGTAGTGACAATTACAAACTTGTTGCTGCGCTTTGTTGCTGTTGTTGTTGTTGCAAACAGGTTGCCACTGCGCCGCCGAGTTGAATGTGCGCAGCGCTGCTCAAGTTCAAGGTACCAGCGGAAAAACAGCAATAGCAACAGCAGCAGCAGCAGCAGCAACAGTAGCAGCAGCAGCATCAACAACAGCAGCAACAACAGCTGCGCAGCAGCAGCGCAACTTTTGCAGCCATGCGAATAGCCGCTAAATAGTTGAGCAAATAGCGCTAAAGAGAAATGCATAACAACGTACGCAGGCAACGCGAGCGGCGAGCACAACAGTTACAGCTAAAGTTACAGTTATCACAGCGAACACTTAACGCAGCCGCGATGAATCACTTTCGTTGAGAAAGCTTCTGCTGGCGTAGGCGTCGCTGCCATCGCCACTACGCATGCGTCGACGCGTCGGCTTAGAATTTTTCGATTGTTCGTGTTCCTTTTTGTGTCGCGGCCGCTGCCGCTGCTGCTGCCGCTGCTTTTGTTGACGTTGATTTCTTTTTGCCCATTGGCACACTTTAGCAATGTGTTTTTGTTTATTTAGATGAGCACACGCACACACACACGCATACATATGTATATATGTGACCCTTTCTTACTCACTTGCGCTATGGGAAGGAGTTGATATTTCGCCGAGTGTTATTGTTGTTGTTTCAATTGGTTTTGCCTTTTGCCTCGCACACACTTGAAGCACTCACTAGCTCGTTCGATCTGAAGCTTCTCTTTTCTTATTTTCTTGTACGCTTACGTGCGCTTTCTTCAACACTTTCTTTCTGTGCGGTTACTACGGCCGCACGCTGCGACGTTCGCTGGCCAACTGAAGCATTCAGCCATTAAAACGGAGCCCAAACACCAACAAAGCTAGAAATGGCCACTCCAACTCGCTCGTTCGCTCGCTCTCTCTCACTCTTGCTCTCTCTTGCTCTCTCTATCTTGCACACACACACTCTCTCAAATCGTGTTCGCCTTTGCAGCTGCGCAGCCTTCACCATGCCCTTTGGCGTGCTGCACAATGCAGGGGCTGAGTGCAGCAGGTGAATTGATCCGTTAGCTGGCACCTCAATTGGACAAGTGCTTCCTGTTTGGCTGCACTTGACGGCACTCTTGGCTGCAGCCATGCTCATCCATCAACTCTGTGACACGATGTGACGTGTTTGCCGGCACGTAGACATAACACACACACATTCACTTACATACACTCACTCACTCACACTCACTTTAACGACTGCGAAATGCTTTCACTCTTACTATATAAGCCATTGGCCATTATGATGCTACGCCCCTAGCCAAAAAAGAAACAAAAAAGTGCGTGTGGCACAGCCAACAGCATTTGTGGGTCAGCCCGACAGCCCGACAGCTTAACGGGCACAGACTTGGCCTGCCCCAGTGACGTCAGCAGGGCAAGCTCCAACTGACAAGCTTAGGAATAAGGGCTAACTTTAACAGGGCTTGCTGAAAGTGCACATCGACTGGCTAATATACCCTGTAGATTTAAGCTTTGTCAACTACTAACAAAGCTTAAAATTTTACTACTATTTTCAACAGTATTTTTGTAGTATTTTTTTTTAAAATGATAAAAGCGTTTATAGCTTAGCCCAAAAAATTAAAAATGTAAATGCGATTCTTAGATTATATGAATAATTATACAAATATATGTATAAATAATCTCATTCCATTTTTAATGTATTTTTTGTAGCAACATTTCGAAAAAGTTTAAGCTGTTTACACTATATATCAAGGGTATATATATTTTTATATATTTATATTATTATATATTTAAATGTTACAAAGATTTTGGCATTCTTTGCGTATCCATAAAATAGCCTTAAATCCGCTAAGCTGCCAGCTCTATTGAATATTTACTTATTCCTGCTCACCCTTTCTCTCTCTCTCATTTAGGTGGCTGCTGCGGCTCGACGAAGAAGCGAACAATTGTCGGCGGCTGGGCCTGGGCCTGGTGGCTGGTGACGGACGTGCAGCGGCTCTCGCTGAACGTGATGACGCTGAATCCGATGTGCGAGAACGTGGAGACCGCTCAGGGCGTACCGCTGACGGTGACTGGCGTGGCGCAGTGCAAGATCATGAAGGTATGTGGGCGAGCGGGTGAGCCGCACTTTCCGCTCTCTCTTTCTCTCTCTCTCTCTCTGTCTCTCTCTCTCTTTCGTCTTTTCCTTTTAGCCACTTTCATCGGCTACGTTAGCAGCTCTCCCAGTGGGGAGCAAGTAATTGCAGTTTGTTTTTTTTTCAGTTTTGTTATGCAAGTTATTTAGCTTCTCTCAATTCTACAGATATACCTGCATATATACATATTTATAGATACATATAACCTTATATAATCTTTTGTATTTGGCATGCATTTTTCGTAGCTACGTAGAAACGCGTCTGAAATTTGGCTTACTTTACCCCATAGCATCATATCTACCCAAAGAAACAGTATATAATTATATATATTCATAAGATTATCGTATATTTCAATCCGATTTAGCATTTTGTTTTTGTTTATGTATGTTTGAACTCTTTCGATTCCCACTCCACTCCCTATCCTTGCCACAAAAACAATTCCCAATCAATTCAATTACAATATTTAGCCTTGCAAGCGCCTTAGAACTGATCCATCAAAAGTAAGTGTAGAACGTATTGTAAACTTGTGAAAATCGCTTTAGTTTCGTATAAACCTATATACATATATTGAGTATAGCAATTGCATCATGGCACCGTACTGCTCATTCACAGCGACCCCGAGTTCACAGTAACAGTGACTCAAAGCACTTTTCGCACAGTCGCTTACAAACAGTTAACAAACTGAAAGCACTGAAAATAACAGTAACTGTAATTAAAAAATCACTAAGAATCATCATTTGAATCATAAATGAATTGTACTCAATTACAGTTAAACAGATTTGAATACTAAATGATTTAGGCAAATACGAATCGAATCATTTATGAAATTATAATATTCGAATCATAATTCACAGTGTTTTTCTCACATATATAGATATATATATGTATGTAGCCATACTTTGTATTATAGAATCCATTCAACTGTAGTTGCACCAATCACAACAGTTCATGATCATTCGCAGGCACTATGATTCAACCAAATATTCACAGTGCTCGGCACAGATATATCAACTCATTCACAATAGTCGGAATTGAATATCCATTGTAAATATTTGTAAATAAAATATATTTGTAATACATAATGGCGTTAGTAATTGAATGGATCACAATTCACAGGACTTTTCAGTGAATCAAACATTCACAGTAGCTTATTCATATTATTATTCACATTCGATTCGTAAAGACTCACTCACTCGCTAGTTATCGAAATTTCGTTATTCCTTATATTGTTTTCTCACTCGGCATGATTTCATTCGCATAGTTTCTTTGGCTCCCCAATGATTTGAATTTATGTTCTTACCTAATTATTTTCATTTCATTATTACAGTCATCTTCGTATAAAAATAATGATTATGCTAACAACGAGGTATGTTTATTCTGCTAACATCATTTCCTCTTTAACAATTATCATTTCGGTTTTGGTTTCGTTGATCTTGAGTTAATGCGATGCAACTCACACACACACACACACACACACTCACACACGCACGATTCAGATCTTGAGTCGAGTTCCCTGTTTATTGATGCCATATCATTTGCTGCATGCCTTTGTCGTTTAGATCTTATGATTTGTATCACATGCACATACATACATACCTACATAGATAGTAAGCGTAGCACTCATTCATTTAATAGTATTCGAGAAAAAAAAGAGCTGTATGCTCTTTAGCTTTGTTCAATTGAGCCTACAGTCTACATAAACAGTCGAAATTTGTTGACATCTGTGTTTTTTACCTCTTCTCTACTTTCTTTTACCAACCACTTACCCTGCGCTCGAATCGTTCGAATCAACTGAACTCAACTCGACTCCAATCAACTCAACTCATCAAACGAATCCGACAAAAAAATATATATACAAAAACAACTGTAAATGATAACAAATCCAAAATTAACAAATCGCTTGAAAAAACAACAACAACAACAACAACTAATATATAATAATTATTATTAATAAACCAAAAACCAAAAAATACATCATCTGAATTACGCCTACTGCTAAACGTCTGCTAATGTTAATGTTACCGTTACCGTTACTGTTACTGTTACTGCTAATGTTACTGTTCATGTTACGGTTACTGTTACGTTTCATGTGTGTGCGTGTGTGTGTGCGAATCTGTGTGCGTGTGCGTGTTTGGGTATAAATGAATCGTAATTACTTTAAACAAAACTAATCAAAAACTAATCAACAAAAAATTATCGCCAACATTAATTAACATTAAATCACCACTCAATTTTTTGGCTGTGGCTTTGGATTGTCCGTCCCACTCTGTTCCCACATCTATCTGTCTATCTCTCTCTCTCTCTCTCTATTCATCTCTGTGTGTGCCGTGTCAAACAACAAATATGAATCAATTAATAACACGATCATCAATTCATTTAATCAACTATTCGCATACCCAAACACTCACACTCTCTATACACACACACACACCCACACACATACACACACACACACACACAGATGATGAATGTTTATTATTTTCATCATCAGGCCGACGAGCTGCTAGGCACGGCCAGCGAACAATTCCTGGGCAAGAGCGTCAAGGAGATCAAGCAGACCATTCTGCAAACCCTGGAAGGACATCTGCGCGCCATATTGGGTAAGAAAAGTCCATAAAGTTATATAGTAATACATTATATAGTTGTATATGCATATGGGTATATTCGATTTACTTTACTTTTGCCTTATGAGTCTCCCGATCCTACTTATTAGTGTTGCCAGACTGTCAGAATATTTGCAATTTTGTTAATCGAAAACAAAGTGAATGTCCACTACTAGCTTCATAAAGCTCGACCACTCGGGTGCTACTGAACGTGGAAGGGAATGAATGTATAATTAGAATTTCAAGTCACCAGCTAAAGTAACGGAGTAAGGCTTTACGTTCATTCCAGACAATAAAATATTTTCACTCTGAGAACGAGTAAAAATAGAATTGCAAATTCCCCTTATCTTGCATGTAATGCCTCTGAGTCTGAGTCACTCTAACTGGATCACTCATTGTGGAAGTGACAAACCAGGTTAAAGAATTAAAAGTGTGAATCTCGATTCAGTTGCTTCACATCATAAGTCAGACAATAAAGATGAAACAGTTGTAAGAGGAGCGGAGAGCTATTTATACCCGGAGCCCATTGAAAATGGAATGTAACAATATATATAATATATTTATTTAGTATGTAGAGCGTTGGAGATTTGACATAAAAAAGAAACTAAAAAAAAAAAATATTTATGATGAGGACTGAAATTTGTTCCGGCGGCAGACACTCAGCTATTGAATGATCTTTACGGGTAGTGCCAGCAGCACCGACTTGAAGAGCCGTGGCTGGGGCAAGGGAGAGGGTGTCGGGAATGTGAAACGATTCATATACAGTGAATAGGAGGACTTCTGTAACAGGAGGTTCGTTTCGAGCAATCGTCGACTGATCTCCTTCAGATTACGAGCCGACTCAGCTGGTCGGTACTCCTCTTTAGTGGATTCCGGAATGCCTTGCCGGGCGACGAATCGAAGCCAAGATTTTGATAGACTAATTTGAGGTTCTTCTTAGGTTTGGCCGGCTGTGGTTGGATAATGTCGACTTACTGCCTGTCAACTGCGAGATGGATTGGGGCTCTGTGACGATTTCCGTTATAGTCTTCGAAGACTGGCTTGTCTGGCTTGTCTGGCTTGCCTGGCTTGGAATGCCTAGATTTTATCAGTGAGGAAAAACAAGAGCTCAACTCGATCGACTTACGCGCGATTGGATTGTCTTGTTCCTTCCGGAAGCATTTCATATGCTCGTCCAGCTCATAGGGCAGATCCTGGCAAAAGCTTGCGCCATCTTCCAGGTAATCCTTGTAGCTCACCATCATTGGACACAGATCGTTCAGGCATCGCATCATACGCTTCACCAAACGCTCATGATCGGCGTGCGATTTGTCCATCCGTGGCACCACTTGATCCTCCAATAAGCGCTCCAGCCCGCTCAATGACGTGCGGACGGTGCGATAGAAGCGCTGAATTGCGTTGGTCACTTGCTCTTCAACCTGACGGTCCACCTGGTCCTTGATGTAATTATTGGCTGCCACGGTCTTGAAGAGCTTCATAATTGATGGAGACGCGTGACAATCGCCGCTCCCAATGCTGCTATTCGAGATCATCCGAGTGGGGAATTCTTGCGAACTGCTTCTCTCCATGGTTGAAAGTCGAATGATTTTAGTAAAATGAAATAAAACAAAAGTATTTATTTTTGTTTTTCAAAACAAAACGTAAGATTTTGAAAAATGCTCGCGTTGTTAGTATGTTCAGTTTGAAACTGAGGAGAAAATGGTCCAGCTCTCAGTCACAACATAGCCAAAGCCTACTCAGTAAAAACCAAATCAAACTCAAATGCAGAGCCGACTCCGACAAGGCAATGCGACATGACATAACATTTGAATGTCTAGCAGTGCCCGCCAATGTTAATAACAGTGAATCAACATAAGGGCTGCCACTCGCTGCTCCACAAATAGCAGGATCAAGCAAGTAAAAACTTTGCAGTCGGGCGTTACCGATGGCGGAATACTCATTCACAGCCCATAGCAAATTCAGGATTTCTCGATTTGCCACGCCCCTACTGAGCGTAGACACTTCATTTTTGGCTAGATCATAGAACAGGTTAACGGTAACCTAACTGCAAAGTTTAGATGCTTACGCTCCAAAAATGAAAAGATTACAGGGTATTTTTTGATATGGCACGCCCCTAAAGAGGAGTAACAATTTTTTTTAGGGGAATCGATAGAGGAGGTTACTTGTAACTTAACTATCCAAATTTGAAGCTTCTAGCTCTTCAAATTTAGAAGATATAAACTTTTGCGGTTTTTTTACATATATCCACCAAAGTTCGTTCGTCTTGGGAGGTCAGCCCGAAAATATATATCAAAATTTAGGTCCCTAGCATCAATAGTGTCCAAAATATAGCAGAATTTGAAAAATCACAATATCTTCAGATCCGATATGCCACGCCCATAAATGGCGTAGGCATATAATTTTTTCATCAATCTTTAAAGAATCATAACATTAGCTCAAATTTCAACGCTCTAGCTTAGAAGCTCTAGGAGATACAGTTTTATAACTTTTCTTGTATGTGGACTATCTATATGAAACTTCAGAACAGGACAAAGCATAAGTCTCTAGACTTTTTATGTTCATTCACGAAAGTGAAATGAGTATATCGGTTTTGTGCAATGTCCGTGTTGCTGTAGATCTGCATCGAACACCCAAGATCCCGTGCTATTGCGCATATATCTACGCCCGTTGGGGGCGTGGCAACCAATTTGAATACTATTATCCTGTTCTGAAGTTTCATATAGATAGTCCACATATAAGAAAAGTTATTCCTAAATTCAGTCCAAGAGCAGTCGCTGTATGCGTAGGTGTGTGGGCATGTGTAGAAGGGAAGAATTATTGGAATATCAGCGCTTGGTAGGATATAGGGGATTTACAAGTTGAGTAATCTCGAATAGAGCACTCTTTTAGGTATTAAACTACATACAAATAGAGTTAGAACTAGAGCTCTATAGCTACCTGGAGCTATTCAAGTGCTCGACTAGAACCCTTGACTCGTTAACTCTGTCGCTACGTCATATTCTAATCGAGTTTTTGACGCGGCCTTGCTGTCTAATTGACTGCTTTAATCAAACTGGACTTGAGAAGCTTTACGAGTGCGTTGAACTGCGCTCAGTGCGTGTGCTTGGAATGAGACCGCGGTATTATGGTCGAAAGAGTTTGAAGCGTGTAGTGTGAGGGCCTTTGGCGCTAGAATCACTATAATTGCCATACTTAAGGCATAAACCGTATATCTCACTCTCAAGGCGATTTCCAATTGTGCAACGCGCTCAAATTGAATATTTCGTTCGTCGTTTGTCGTCGGCGTTGTCTTGGAACGGACAGGCTCACTCACTCTCTCTCGTGCTGGTTGTGTCAGTTGTAAGCGCGCCGAGCGACGCTCCGGTCGCAACGTTTCCGAGCGGTTCTCAATTATACTGCCCACAGCAAGCCCGCCCCCAAACGCGTACCGAGCTCTATTTTCTATTTTTCTTTCACTTAATTAAATCGCGTGTGAATCGCTCAGCTGTTTGCTGTGTGTGCTTGTTTACGCCGGACAGATGGGCAAAGCCCTCTTCGATCTTGACCTTGAATTGGCTTGGGGGTTAGAAGAACTACAATTGTAATTAACCTTGCCTGTGGCTCAAGGGGAGCAGTCGAATATCTAGAAGCTGCTTCAGATATTCAGGAATCTCTTAAGGGTCTTAGCTCGGAAGAAAAACTTTGGAAACGTAGAGCTGGCTTTTCCTAGGACAATTACCTCCAGTTCTGCTGGGAAAAAGAAAACTTTTCTGATATATTCTCAGAACTTAAGGATGAAAAAATAAAATTGAATATATTTTGAAAAAAACAGAGTTGCCAGACTGCTGCAAAACAAAAGTTAAATAAAGAGGGAAATACTTTACATTTCCGTTAATTATTTCTAAAATTAAAATAAAGTAAACTCGTTAAATACTTCTCCAACTGATTACAAAAAACTTCGTATATTAGTGGTTCGCGCTAAATTTGAGGTGAACATAAATCAAAAAGTGCTAAAAACATTTCAAAGCTCTGCGAATTCCAATTGCTGTAAGCTTGCAGGGCTTTAAGCTCTGCGCACGAGCTTTTACCGTTCGCAGCACCGTGACGTGCGCTGATAAGCGGCAAGAGCTAGTCGATAAGACTGCGCCAATGACGTCAAGGGTAATACGAATGTCTTGATTAAAAGGAATGAACTAGTACTACCGCCTAGGCTAGGTATATACCACTAAGAACGGTGCTCGCGGCTGTCAGTGCTAACTTAGTTGGGCTTTGGCGAGCCACCAGACAACAGCGAGTCATGTCGATGGTGTGGATCGGGACCTTTAAGGTGGTCATGATAGTGGGCACTACCTGGTTGGTGGTGAAACGGTAAGAAAGCATTAGCTACGCTCAGCTTCGACTATGGAATATCTCGTGCTCTCATCTGCTCACTCTCTCATGCTCTCTCCCTCTCTCTCTCTCTCTCTCTGTCGACCAACAGGAACGCTTACAGTCGAAGAAGTCTACAAAGATCGCGACCAGTTCGCTGCGCTTGTGCGCGAGGTAGCCGCACCGGATGTCGGCCGCATGGGCATCGAGATTCTGTCCTTTACCATCAAGGATGTCTACGATGATGTGCAGTACTTGGCCTCGCTGGGCAAGGCGCAGACGGCGGTGGTGAAGCGTGACGCCGATGCGGGCGTGGCGGAGGCCAATCGTGACGCTGGCATCAGGGAGGCCGAGTGCGAGAAGAGCGCCATGGATGTGAAGTACTCGACGGACACGAAAATCGAGGACAATACGCGCATGTACAAGCTGCAGAAGGCTAACTTCGATCAGGAGATCAACACGGCCAAGGCCGAGTCGCAGCTGGCCTACGAGCTGCAGGCGGCCAAGATACGCCAGCGCATCCGAAACGAGGAGATCCAGATCGACGTGGTCGAGCGCCGCAAGCAGATCGAGATCGAGTCCCAGGAAGTGCAGCGCAAGGACCGCGAGCTCATCGGCACCGTCAAGCTGCCCGCCGAGGCCGAGGCCTATCGCGTGCAGACAATCGCCCAGGGCAAACAGTAAGTGAAGCAAAACGATGATCTATCCCACACATCAGCCATCCCTAAGACTCGATAAGAAACTTTCAAGTTCCTGCTGAAGTTGGCTGGGAACAATTATATTATAACTAATATCGAGTTCGATATTCGAGCTGAGGAATTAGTTAGTTAGCTGATTGCTTAAGACTCAGTTCAAGCTAAAAATAGATTCCTGATTGCATACTGATTTCATTTTGCCTTGTACAACGAAACGTATACGTAATATAATTTATTTTTATATAAAGCTGAGATCACTGGCCCTCACTTAGTATTCCAACTTTATCCATATGTTTATGCATATTTTTAGCTAACAAATTAAATTCTCTATTACATTTTCGTCTCGCTTGTACGAGTAATATTTATAGGCGCAAATCCTTGGGGTTAGCCTTGCCCCTGACCAACTCTATGGATAAAAATAATTCTATATTTTGTAAACGCGTTTCATAAATACAAATTATGCCCCGTACAACGTTTCGTATGAGTGATATTGAGAATAAGTTCATCTGGCTAACTCCGATTCTATTCTCCTACCGCCCCAAAAAAACAGATGTCAGACCATTGAGAGCGCCAGAGCCGAGGCGGAGCGCATACGGAAGATCGGCGCGGCGGAAGCTCACGCCATCGAGCTGGTGGGCAAGGCGGAGGCGGAGCGCATGCGAATAAAGGCGAATGTCTATAAGCAGTACGGCGATGCTGCCATCATGAACATAGTGCTCGAGTCGCTGCCCAAGGTAAGAGAGAGTCAGACAGAGTCAGAGAGAAAGAGAGACAGATTGATACATTTGCATTTGATTACAGATCGCCGCAGAGGTGGCGGCTCCATTGGCCAAGACGGATGAGATCGTCCTGATCGGAGGCAACGACAATCTGACCAACGATGTGACACGCCTGGTGGCCCAGCTGCCGCCCTCGATCAATGCGCTCACCGGGGTGGATCTCTCCAAGGTGCTGTCCAAGATACCCGGAGCCAAGGCGTGAAACCCGATCGAATGGGATGTGCAGCAAATGGCAATGACAACGTAACCCCAAAAGGAATTGCAACTGGAAATGACAAAACGAGAAGGACAAAGAGAAGAAGAAAACGAGAGAGTAAGAGAGAGAGAGAGAGAGGGAGAGAGGCAACCAAAAACGAGAACGATAGAGAGAGAAGAAGAACGCATTTGTTAGAGCGAGCTGGCGAGCGCATTGGAAGCATCAATGGAATCGAACGATAATCTTACATATACATACATATACATATACATATATATTGATTGCGATATATGTATATATATATAACAAAATGTACTCCGATATTATGTGTGTCAGTGTGTGTGTGTGTGCAACAAAAGGAAAAGCAAAGCAAAGCAAAGATACCCCCCACCCACCAAGAAGACCTCTGGGAGTAGTTTGACAAAGCAAATGACAAATCCGATCAAACTAAAGCTACTGCTAAATATATATATTTAAAAGAAAAAAAGAATTAAGCATTTCGCACGCATTCGCAAACGCATTTTGTGGCCTTTTCTCGATAAATAAGCAGAAATTACCGATAAATAAAAAAAAAAACAATTATACCAAAAAAAAAAACCAAATGAAATGAGAAAAAGAAAAACAATTTGTAAACACAAATTTCTTGTGTAGTATGCTAGTTACATACATATATAGATACAACCACACTCACATATATATACATATATATATATATTTACACATATTGACGTACACTCACAGACCCTAATTGTATATTAATTTTGTTTTGTATTTGTATTTGTCACCATCTTTAGTTCGTAAGCTCAACTGCAGACGCACAAATGCATTCGCATTAAGTTAAGTGTTGATCAGTGCCATCAAACGCATTGCTTGGACGCTATCCAACACTGCACTCAAACAGTTTAACAACACTACAACTACAAGTACTGCCTGATAGAATGACAATGACAACGTCCCACTGTGCCAACCCAGGAACCAACAGGCACTCACACACACAAACACACACACACACACACATTCAATGACGCCTCTGTCGCAGCCGCTCTTCCACATTCGCACACGAAATTTCCCTTTTATTCAAACTTAAATTTAGTTAAAACAATTTTTTATGCATGTCCACAGTCTATTTGTCCCTCTTAACGAATCTTTATACGTATAGTGAGAATGAGCTATAAAACGATATTTGTATGAAATAAATAAAGTTTTTTTTTCCATATATTCATTATTATTATTTGTTTGCTTTAACCTATTTTTGGTTTTCTAGTATAATTCAACGAGGCTGCTAAACGTTGTGCTGCACTGTGAAATCGGCGAAGCAATTCTAGAGTTTTCCACGAAAAACACAAGCAATAATTGATGCGATTGTCACTGGGCCAGCTGAGATCGATTTTGAAATCAAAAGTGATTCCAACAAGTTTCCATTCGAGCTGAACAACTCTATAAGGCTAAATATTGTCAAGGTATTAAGAATGAATCTCGAATTTCAGATGTCTACGAGTTTTCTAGGTATATGTAAAATGATCTTCAATCAGTTTCATCGATCGTCAGTCAAAAATTATTTCTAAGCAGTGACAACTTCTGATTCCTTCTCACTTATTTAGCTACTCCATAAAATTCTAGGCTTCTACTTCAATCAAATTTCTATTTAGGACTACTTTAGATTGCTCTGTAGTCGAGACAATTCAGCACAGTGAATGCAGCCCTGTTAAGAGAAAAGAAAAACGAAATTCCAATTACGAAAATTGTTAAGAAAAATGAAAAAAAAGAAGCTAACAACAACAACAAGAACAACTAGATTAACCGAAGAAGAATCTGCAGCATAAACGCATTTACACACAATCCCGAACAACAAAAGTATAAATATATATATAAATATATGAATGAATATATATATATTTTTTTTCTATTGTATATTAAGTGCAAATAACTTCAATTGATACATGTTTCACAGTGCAAGAGAATAATGTAACTAAATAAATCGAATCTAAAATTTTGTGTATTTTGTCGTAAATAAATAAATTGAAAAGAAAAACCGAAAACTCTATGTACATATATGCTCATATGGTAAGTCCTTTAGTATGGAAACACTCGGCTATTTGGTTGGTCACTCATATCTTTATTACAAAACGTTCATATACAAGTAAAATACATATGTATATATATGTATGTAGGTGGACATACGTATACCTGTAAATATATCAATATCTAAATACTAGCTTACATACTATTCATACAGATAACAAAAAAAAAAAAAAAAAACAGAAAATTTAATGGCTTAGGGCTAAGTCCGTTGGGATTCGGACTGATATTGGTGTATACTATGATAACACTATGCAGGTCCAGCGTTATGAATATACATGTATATATGCTGTTGCAGTTTAGGTACACACAAGCCTAGGCTACGAGACTTATAAGCTATGGACCAAACCAGTGACTAATTACTCGCTAAACGATACACGTTAACAGCTATCCTTTCGATCCCACTCGTTACTCGCTACTCGCATCCCATGTCACTCGCTATGCGTTAGTTGCTATCCGTTCTTGGCACTTGCAATGCTCTAGCAATTATTCACGCTACTTCCTACTCTCTATTCTCTACTCGCTACTCGTTACTCGCTACTTGCTACTCGCTACTTGCTACTCGCTACTCGTTTTTTTCCACTCGCCTCACGCTTATAGCTTTTCACTTCACGATTCTGCTTACTCGCTACTTCCTACGTGCTATTCGCTACTCGCTACTCTCCACTCGCTACTCTCCACTCGCCTCACGCTTATAGCTTTTCACTTCACGATTCTGCTTACTCGCTACTTCCTACGTGCTATTCGCTACTCGCTACTCTCCACTCGCTACTCTCCACTCGCCTCACGCTTATAGCTTTTCACTTCACGATTCTGCTTACTCGCTACT